TCCTCAGTAGAAGGCTCGACCACATCAAGAAACCCCAAGACTGTTGCTTTACGCTTGGCACTTGGCCCTTCCCAGGCTTGCCTAGGGATATTAGCAGCAAAAGCCCTGGAACCTGCCTCCGCTGCTTCCCTCTGCACATCCAACTCGTCATACGGGGCTGCGAGTACAGGCGCTATAAGGACCGGTTCTTTAGGGGCCTCCTCAATAGGCATGAGACCCATTTGGCCCCCGATCGTAGGTCCTGATTCCAAGGCGACCGAAGCATACCAATCGGCCTCCCCTTCGGGACCATCAAAAAGACTGTCAAGATATGCATTGAAAGGCCCCCGCTCATCCGGAGCAGAGTTGTCGTCTAAGCTCGGGCGAGCTTCTGCCTCAGCCTCCGAAGAAATAACTTCAGTATCCTGATCCACATCCCTGGGTCCCGGTGCACTAAAGGGCGAGGCCACCGGTGGAGGATCTGCATCGCCCCCTTGGAGGAGACTCCACGGGTGATTCATGCCTCCAAGTCGGGAGGCGGCGGAGTTTCCAAAAAACGACGAAAAGCTGAGCGAAGAGCAGCAAGAAAATGTTCCAACCAGCGAACCCTCGTCCCCAACTGCCGACAATCCTGTCGGCTTTGGCTTAAGAGCTCCTCTGTGCGTTGCACGCGAGCTGTCAAATCATGTAGTTCGAGCTGCAAAGCCCAAATCTGATGACCAAGCAGCTCGTAGCTGTCGGACGAGGAATGAGCGCTGCGAGTGTCCATGCACAGCGCCGCAAGAGCTAAGGAACACCAGGTTAGCGGGAGCTCAAAGCCTTGAGCCAAAATGGTCCTTGAGCCAAAAAGTTTTCCTTGCTGCTCCCCAGACTTGATGCTCTTTGGTAGCTTCCTCTGGTAGGGTAGCTCCTAGCCTCGTAGTTGCCAGGTGGTGGTCAGTGACCTCCCACCTTCTACTTCGCCATGGTTGATGCCGCAATGCGGCATTATAACGCTGAGTCCAGTGAGGCTCCTTGGCCTACGCGCGATGGCGTGCCAAACCAGCTGGCTTCGCCAGTGGCGGTCGCCAGGATCCGACAGTGTCGGATTTGTCTGCGCGTGCTGCAGTGCAGCCCATGTCACATCCTCGAGCAAGCGATGCGAGAGGAGATGGGACAGGCGGAGATCAGTTATCTCCTTTTCGCTCTTAGCAGTGCTATGCGCGTGCGTCCTCAGGACGTCAGTGACGACCATACCGATTTCGAGGAGGAAAGAGCTAAGCACATGTGGCCGCCCTTCTCTCCTTTTATCCAGCTGCCAGGCGAACAGCCAGTCCAAGGCAGTGCCCACCCCATGCGCCGCTATACCATGGACGACCGGAAGCACCCCCCCGCGGTCTGTCCCTGCGCCAGACTGCCCGTACACAGGGATGTACGATTGTCCTCCCAGTGGAGAGGAAGATGATCACGCCAAGTTGGCTTGGCGGTTCGACCATGCAACGCGTCTGGAGCGGCACCTCGTGGGGAAGATTGAAGCCAGTGGTTTCTCTTGCCATAAGGACGGTGCAGGGCCTGGCGAAGGCGGCTTCATGAGTACCCCCAGTGGGGGCAGCAAGTCCATTGAGAAGCAGCCTGCTCCTGCCACTGATAATCTGGCTTCAGTCTCCTCGTCCAGTGCGGACCCGGAAACAGTGCCACCAGGCATCGCTCCACGCACGCCCCCTCCCTCGGTGCCAATGTGTTCAGTGAACACTGCAGGCGTGACCGTCCATCCCGGTCCCACCGATGATGCCCTGCGGTTGCAGGCAGAGTCCTTGCTATCTCAGGTCAGTTGGAGCCAGCTTGATGCATATATCTTCCCGCACTTTCACAGGCGCCTGAAGGAAAAGTTGCCGGAGCTCGAGCTCACTTTTGCACGTTTGCGAGAGCTCCGCGCGGACGAGGACATAGTATGTTTTCAGGTCATGGGTAACTACAAGAAGCTTCACGACGGCTTCCACCAGTCACCCGAGCTCTCTGTGGGCAACTTTACCCTCGCTTTCACAGCCACGTTGATGAGCCACGCCTTGTCAACATTCTTCTCCGGCAAAGATGCCGTCTTCGGGTCTTTTGTTGAATGTTGGCTCTTTTCGATGCGAGGTGCAGAGGGAGCAGTCGCGGACAAGAAAAGGGAGATCCTGGGACTTTTTCTTCACGCATGTGAGACAGTGTCATACTTCTTGCCAGTGGCAAGACAATCCACCCAGCTCTGCCACCTCATTGATTGGAGGCGAGGAGGTCTTCTCTCCACGCAGCTACTGCGCAGTCTCGCAGTCATGCAGCTAGGTCAAGAAGCTGCACAGCCCTGCCAAGCCGACTTGCAGAGCAAGCTCGTACAGTGCGACGGCGGGCAGGACAGGTTGGGCGCCGCAACCCCGTCGTCAACTTTCGACGACCAGTGGTTGGTGCAGGCCCTCAGTGGGGTGCCACAGCCGATGCAGGCCGCTCTCTACAAGGCAGTCTTGAGCTTTTCCGAGCCGGGCAGTGCCCTCGCTGACGCGTCTGAGGCGGTGCAGAGAGCAGGTTGGCACAAAGGATCCAGCGGATCTGTTCCCGTCGCCGAGTTGTTGAGGAGAGCCCTCCTGGGCTACAGCCCTCCCGCCTTGCCAGCCTCCGCTTCCTGCAGTGCAGTGCCACAGAGTCTGAGGCGCAGTGCGCTCGCTGAGTCCTCAAACCAGCCCGCGGACACCTCCCTGGCAGAGCCAGCTACCCCTCACGGCAACACTGTGCGCTCGCCGACCACTCCTGCAGAGCAGACTCAGGACACTGCGTGAGCTGAGCCACCAGACCCCGCCATGGATTCAGGCAACATCGCGCCCGTCGCGCAGTGCGCGCAGTCAGCCAGTGGCTCAGACGCGGCTTAGGCGAGTGCTAGAAGCCGTGCCCGTTCAAAACCAAGAGGGACAGTGCCGCGAACACAGGTTTTTCTTCGCAGTGCGATAAGCAGGCGCGCCGCTTAAACAACCAAGTAAGGAAAATGGGCCGGGCTCGCGACCATGGCTAGGAGTGGCCCAACCAACGTTGTAGCCACCGATGCCACTCAGACAGCAGTGCCTTGTCTCGAACAGTGTTCGGACTTGCTTTTTCGACCCGGGCTCTGGTGCAGAGCACCCTCCTATGGCCGCCCACACAGCCCTGGACAGTGGTCCGAAGTCGGCAGGCGCCGAGGTACCATAGTCAGCCTTCCTGCGGTCTTGCAGAAGCTTGCGCAGAGTGCCTGCTTCGTCGGGCAAAGCCCATCGACGAGCCAGCCCTCGCGTCGAGGAAGAAAAGCTTGTTTCCCCCCCGCTCTCCATGTCACTGACACTCCCTCGGCTTGTAGTGCGAGGGCGCAGAGCTCCTGGCAGGACCTCTGTTTTTGTGTCCGCAGCCGTTTTCAAGCTTTCTGCCTAGCAGTTTGGTTTTGCGCTTGTTTCCTCCCGCCCTATCTCAGGACACTGCTCTGATCTGTCTCGCGCGCCTAGTAGGCTCCTGTGCTGACGGCGCTTTTCTTGAGCATGCCCTTGCTCTTGCTGTTCGTAGCAGCTTTGCTTGTAGCTGTTCTGGCTCCTTTTGCTTTCGTCTCGCCAGTTGCCTTGGCACCGTCCCAAGGACGTGCCTTTTCAAGAGTCAGGTTTGTAACCTGACTATGGGCGTTGACGACAAAGTTGCTAACCGGTGGCCCGGTCTCTCGCGCAGGGCTCCTGCCCTTCAGCCGTGGGAATGGTCATCCCGGTTGGCTCGCTCAGCGGCCTGGCCGTGGGAGTTGCCAGTGATACCATCGGTGGGCCCGGTACCTGTGGTACACAGTTCCCTGGTGCTGAAGAGAAGCGCCGAAGCGTCTTCGGCCCCGGCAGTGCCGGACTTCTGCCATGGCCTTGTCTTGACCGTTCGCTCACGTGGCACAGTGTGCCAGGGTGATCAACGGTGCTCGACAATGTTCAAGCTTAGAGCTGTGGTACAGAGCCGGCCGGATGCTTCCGGCATGGTCGCACAGTGTGTTGACTCCTACGATCGCGTCGATCTTGACGAGCTCGATCTCGGCATCAGAGCCGCTCTCAGTTGCAGGGCCACCAACACGTTGTTTTGGCAGCTGATACCCTCCCCTGCTTCCGCTCAGTGGGCGTGTACGCAGTCACCACTGCTGACTCCTTTCCCAGCAAAGGGGAAAGTGAAATGGCGCTATATCCAGTGGATGACACGCGCTGACCAAGGATCTTCCAGTCCTTCGAACCTACCTCAGTGTCAGCACTGGTGCCTCGGGGTTTGTGGCTTCGCCTCCGAGTCGGAGGCGACCAGTTTTCGGTTCACCGGCCCTCATAGGGGCACGGAGGCCAGCGCCCCACTGCCTAAGCGCGCACCAGTTCTCGCAGTCAAAGAGGTGGTGCAGCTTGAGCGCGCAGGCAACTCGCGGGTACTCTGCGACAGTGTCGTATCCGAGGGTCCCCCCTGCATGCTCCTTGCACGCGCCCGCGCCAGTGACGCGGCGCGTGTCTTTCTCCTCTTGTATGAGTTATCCGGCGACCCCTGGGCCACAGTGTGGATGCAGGACATTGCTGCCAAGGCCCAGTTGGCCACCAGCTCCAGAAGTCGCCCACTCTTGCCCCTCATTGCACCAGCGGTGATATCTCAGAGGCCTGGGTTCCTCGATGCTTGAGACATCGCGTTAGCCTCGGGCTTTTCTCCTCTGGGGACTTCCCCTTTGGGTCCGTGACCCTTGCCTTTACCTCGGGCAGAGTTCACCCAGGTGGACCGATGGCCTCCCAGGAAGTTACGCGATGGCAGCGCAGTGCTCTGGCCAGCGCCGCTGCTGAAGGCGCACAGCGTCTCAGCAGCCTTGGCCCGAAGGCCTCATGCCCGGCTTGGGCGCCTCAGACGGGTCTCGGTCTGGTTTTGCGCCGCCTGCTGGCTCACCACGTGCGCGAGCATGCTCGCAGCACCGAGACATACAGCCGCCTCTTCCTGATCCCCGCAGCGCGGGGATTAGAAGAAGGAAACTTTCAGCTTGCTGACATGCCTTTCTTCTGAACGGGAACAGCAGCCCCTGTGAGGCAAGCGATAAAAAACTCCCATCCATAAAACATGATTTTGAAAGTTTTAACTGAGCTTTAAAC